TAATCTTCAGTCAACTGAATGCAATGATGAAATTGTTTTAAGTGATGCATCTGTATCTCAAACTCACTTTTTTCTGGAGTATAGATTAAATTTGATTATGTTATTAAAAATAATAATAATTTTGCAGTTGTGCATTTAAAATAGCAATACTCAGTCAAGATGCCATGTAATATTATATATATTGTGTTATATTCTTTTCATAAATGTAAAGTCGTTTATTTGTGATTAATGAGCGATGATAAATTTGATACATCTGCAACAAAGATACTGAATTTAAAATAAAAAGCTAGAGAACTGCAGTGCCCTCTAGTGGTTAAAGTACAGATTGCGTCAGTGCAAGATGAAGTTAAACTGAGATATGATTAAAAATTGACCAAGTGCTAAGAGGAAGAAAAAAAATCAACCTGCTTGGAGACAAAATGTAAAGAAATGAGGGTGACTCAAAACTTTTGCACAGTACTATAAACAGTAAATACAAAATGTGAACAACATTTTTACTGTGATTTTATGTCACAGTCATTCTTGGCACTCTTGCAACAATTTTTTGCTTTTGCTGTAACAGAAATTTTTGGAAATTTCTTCACAGTTTTGAGCTGCCCTGTCGTCTCCATCACAGCCCAGTTAAAAACCAGCTTCAGAGATTTCAGAGGCTGAATCTCTCAAGGAAAGACGGGTAGAGGTTCATCAGCCTATGATAAACTGAGTCTAAAAATGATGAAATGATCTGAAAATAATGTTCCTCAATATAAATCAGGAAGACTGTGAATATCTAATAATCTACAGTTCACAATATCATCAAAGGATAACAAATACCCAAATATATATAAAAAAAAGTGCTCAAAGGACAAGCTGAAAGTCAATATGGGATGTCTGTGATCTTCAGCTTAAATCCTTCCGTGCAGTCTTCCCCCATCTCCACAGGTGTGTCCCAAGGCTCTGTCCTCGGACTCCTCCTCTTCATCATTTGATCACATCTTCTGCAAATGTCCATTTCCACTGTTACAGTGACAAAACAGAAATCACCCTCGTCTGTACCAAAAACTCTATTTCAAAATCAGAGCGTCTTCTCATCCCCCTTAACAACTCTCTGCTATCACCCTCACCTCAGGTCAAGAGTCTTGACGTCATCCTCGACACTCTCCCCTTCACTTTACACATCAGCAATGTTACTCTTCCTGTTTCCATAACTGAAATTTTAACCGTCTCCATCCTTCTCTCACACCCCGCTCCACTGCCATCCTTGTTCAGTCTTGTGACTTCCCGGAGCGACTAATGCAACTCCCTTCTTTATGGCCGCACCAACAAATCTCTTCAGAAGCTACAGATGGTCTTCACCTGCTCTGCCCCTCTCTACCCCCAGACCTACGAAACACCACCTCTCTTTCTCTGTTCAAGACTGCTCTGAAAACACATCTCTTTAAACTCTGTTATCCTTCTTAACTTTGTTTCATGTATTTTATATTTCAATGTATACCTGTTGGTCTTCGCACTGTGTTCGTTTTTACACAATCTTTCTGATGTTTCTTGCTGTAAGGTGTCCTTGGGTGTCCTGAAAGGCGCTTTTTAAATAAAACAATTATTATTATTATTATTATTCAGACCCTCTGGGGCCACTGCATTAAAACAGGTCTGATTCTGTTATGGACAAAACTGTACAGGCTCAGGAGCACTTCTGCAGATTATTGACTGTAAACGCAGGTGGGCCGTTCACAAATGCTGGTTAAAGCTCCACGCAAGGAGAAAGGCCATACACGAATACCATCCAGAAACACCGCCATCTTCTCTGAGCCAAAGCTCAAGTAAACTGAAATGAGGCAAAGTGGAAAACTGTTCCGTAGTCTGACAAATCAAACTTAATATTTTGAACTTGTTTTTTATTTTAACCACAGACACCACTTTTTCAATACTAAAAAGGAAAAGTCTGTTATCGAGGCACAGTTTAATAATCCTTTCTGATGGTACAGGGGAGCATTAATTGGTGCTTCATGGAGAGTTTACACATCGGGAAAGGCACAATCAATGCAGAAAAAATAAATGCAAGTTTTAGAACAATGTTCCTATACAAACAGCAGCTTCTTCAGGGAAGGTGTTGCATATTTCAACAAGACAATGCTAAACCACAAACTGCAGCCATTACAACAGTCCAGTCCTCTCCAACTGAAAACATTTGCCACATTTTGAAACAACAATCCAGCCATGAAGACCCAGGACTGAACAGAAACAATTCTACATAAGACAAGAATGGGACAACATTCCCCACCAAAAACTCCAGCAGCAGGTTCCCTCAGTTCATTTTTTTTTTTTGTATTAAAAAAATTAATACATTTGAAAAAAATAATAATAATCAAACAGTATTTTCACAGTTGTAGTTAAACTTCACATATAACATTTGAAAAATACACAGAAATTATATACTTCTAGGTTCTTGTGATACCTGTTGGGTTAAAAATGCATATTGTTTTATGAAAATCTGAAAAATTATTTGTGTAGTTTAAAATTTTGTTATGCATATCAATGCTTCTTCCTGTAAGCTGTGTAATTAACAAAGAAAAAAGGTAAACAAATAAAATTCAATTCAAAAATACTTTATTAATCCCAGAGGGAAATTATTTTGTTGTTGTAACTCGTTATCCTTATTTCATTAAGAGATGTTATGGATGCTGATGACTGTAGGCAGGAAGGATCTCTTGTAAGGGTCCATCCCACAGCGGATCCTAAGAAACTGGCTGCAGATGCCGTCCGATCCATCCACCCAGACTCGGCTGACCTTTCGGTTCCCCCGAGCTTTAGGACCGCCCGAATGCTGGGCAGAACTCCTCCCAGAGCGATGGCCACTCCTCCCAGCAGTTCCTCTCCTCGTCGCTGCGGACAGCCAACTGTAGGTGCCGAGGGACGATCCTGTCCTTCCGCTGTCATGACCCGTATTTCCTGCTAGTTCCAGGATCTCAGTGGTCAGGCACTCAAGCACAGCTGGCAGGTAGATGAGAATGCATCCACGGAGCCTCCTTTTCAACTCATTTGAGATTTGGGGCTGTAGTCGAGATATTATTTGAGCTTTTGAGATGTTAATCAGCTGCTCCTGGTTGTAGAAAACTGCCTTGTTGCCATGGTTACGCATCATAACAAATGTCCAAAACTAAAAAAGTTTCGGTAAAAATCCTTCCAGCTGCTCAGCATCCGATACCAGAGGAAACAATCATCCAAAAAATGTGATTTACATCCAGAAAAAAGGGGAATTAAAGTTTCCAAAAGCAAAATCTCAGAATGAAAGTAACAGAGCTGCTCCAACATGCAGCCACCTTGAGCGGCGCACTAGCTAAATCATCAAACAACAGGTAAAGTTAATTTAACAGAATACCCAGTGTCCCAGTATCCAGATAATGAAACAAAAAATGGAGACACTTCAGTGAAAGGAGCAAACACCCACAGTAAACGCCTACATGTTGTAAAATGACTGGTTTCATCAGAAGTTGATTTATAAAAGGAAGTGAATTCAAAGCCTTTTTTTATATTCATTTATTGTCAACCATAAATGTTGGGCAATCGTTGTATACTTTTTAAATTCATGCCTGTATTCATTTACAGTAGTTGTTCTCAACTGGTGGGTCATGACACAAAAGTGGGTCACAGATCTGTTTTCAGTGGGTCGTGAGCCTTTGCCAATAAAAGTTTAAACATTTAATGCTGGGATTGTTACATAAGCCATAATGTTAACACTTAAATTGTAAATGGACTGTAATTATATGACATCTTTCTATCCAACCAGGCTACTCTTTGAACTTTATAACACAACCTGTGCCCTCATTTACCGATACACACGTACAGCACATTACTACAACTCTACAAAGCTGATCTGAATTAATCGTTCTTTAATCAGTGCTTTAGATCACATTTATACACCGATGGGGCACATCAGAGGCCATGACGGGTTCAGTATATTGCCATCACGTATGTAGTATGTGACTACATACTGGAGGAATTGAACTTCTGACTCTCATAGGAGGATGACTGCACTAACCACTGATCCACAGCTCCCCCACTGTGACTGACTAAATAACTTTCATAAGAAACTAAGTCAGATCCTCTTCATCATCATCATAACCTTTATTTATTTTGTTAGATTTATCTACCAGGATTACTGAGCATGCATCAGGACAAGAAACTGTTTGTTACACTTTGTTTATTTGGATGTTGGTAGAGCGGTTGCCTCTCATTGAAGTCACCAGATCGAATTCCAGCCTGGGCCTTTCTGGGTGGAGTTTGCATGTTCTCTCCGTGCATGCGTGGGTTTTCCCCGGATGCACCAAAAACATGCATGTTAGACTGATTGGTAACTCTAAACAGTCCCTAAGTGTGAGTGAGAGAGCGAATGGTTGTTTGTCTCGTTTGTCTGTGTCCCTGTGATGGACTGGAGACCTGTCCAGGGTGTCCTCCGCCTCTCGCACAGTGACTGCTGGACATGGGCACCAGTGACACTTGCAACTCAGAAAGGAAGAAGCGGGAAAAGATAATGGATTAAAATTGTTAGTGTGAACATGTGTTGGCATATTGTGATAATCTGTTCTACTGTCTCACGTTCAAACTGCACCGTCTTTTTATTCAGTAAAAATGAATAAAATTCAATTCACTTTAACCTTTATTTATACAGATAAATCACACTGAGCCTCGAAGACTCTTTTAAAGTGAGACCTGTTTATATAAATAAATAAATATAAAGTCAACCTCACTGTTTTGTCACCTGTGTGTTTGTTCATGTTTTAAGGAGCAATGCAGATAATTGCTTTGTTTCCTGTGTGGATTCCCATGCGGATGTTTAAATGTGTCTTTTGGTTAACCCGTTGGCCACAAATCTCAAAGGAAAAGGTCTTATGTTGATTCTTGTGTAGGTGTTTTAATTTGTCTTTTAGCCAAACTCTTATCCTCAAATATCAAAAGAATTTTTTTTTTTCTTATGTGTACTTTTAGGAGTGCGTCTAAAGTTGTATTTTGATCAAATATTTGTCCACAAACACCACAACGAAATAGTGTCAGTGCTGTGTGGATTCTCATGTCGATATTAATTTGAGTTTTGACTAAACATTTGTCTACAAAGTTCACAAGGAAATGGTTTCTATCTTCTCTGTATTTAAATTCAGCTTTTGGCCAAACATTCGCCCACAAATATCACAAGGAAGCAGTTTCTTTCCTGTATCAATTTGCACATTTTTGTTCAAATTTCTATTTTGGTCAAATATTTGTCCACAAACATTACAAGATAATGGTTCCTGCCCTATGTGGAGTTTCATGTGTCTGCTTAAACTTGTCTTTTGGTTAAACATCTGACTACAAATGTCACAAGAAAACGGTTTCTCTCCAGTATGGATTCTCATATGTCTGGTTAAACTTGCCTTTTGGTTAAACATCTGACCACAGACATCACAAGAAAATGGTTTCTCTCCTGTGTGGATTCTCATGTGTGTGTCTAAAGTTACCTTTTGGCTAAACATTTGTCCACAAAACTCACAAGGAAATGGTTTTTGTCTTGTGTGGATCATTACATGTCTGTTTAAATTAGTCTTTCGGCTGAACGTCTGACCACAAACATCACAAGAAAATGGCTTCTCTCCTGTGTGGATTGTCATGTGCCTGTTTAAACATATCTTTCGGCTAAACATCTGTCCACAAACATCACAAAAAAATGGCTTCTCTCCTGTGTGGATTCGCATGTGTGTTTTTATATTTGTTCTTTGGTTGAACCTTTTCCCACAAACTTTACAAGGAAATGGTTTCTCTCCAGTATGGATTCTCCTGTGTGTCTGTAAATGTGTATTGCATCTAAACATTTGCCCACAAAGGTCACAGGGAAATGGTCTTTCTCCAGTGTGGACTCTCATGTGTTTCTTTAGAGCTCCTTGTCTAGTAAATCTTTTGCCACAGTCATCACAAGTAAATGATTTCTGTCTTGTCTGGACTTTCCTGCATGCAACGACATTTTCCTTCACTTTCACATATTTCTTATTAACCAAACAACTTGAAGAGTCATTCCAATCCTCATCATCCACTTCATCATCCTCACTGACTTCAGTCTTTGAAGAGCTGGAATCCTCTTCATGAGTATTTAGTTCTGGGTTCCTGCTAGTTTCTTCTCCTCCACAGTCCTCTCCACCAGTTGTTGCTGTCATCTGATCAGCTGAGCTGCTGCTTGGAAGATCTCTGCTTTCCACTTGGTGCTGATGAAGCTGTGAGACCAGAGGTTTCTCTTCGTCATCCTCTCTTTTCAAAGGGTCTGCAGTGAATGAAAAGCTGCTGGCATCAACCTCCTCCTTCACATTAAACTGTTCACCATCCAGATTGGTCCACAGTTCCTCCTCTTCCTCCTTTATGTTGAAGACTTCTGGTTCCTGCTGGTCCATACCAGGGTTCCATTCTTCAGAAGGTTCTGCTTTAATCAGCACCATCTGCTGAACATCTGCAGCAAACACTGAAATGCATGAAATATTAGGGACAATTGTCAGAAAACCTTTTGAAACTAAATACACAGAAGATCGACATCCTTCTGACTGGCTCCTAGAAGATGGCAAAACAAACAGAAACACTAGGTGGTTCCTTGTTGGAGCAAAGGCAATATGTCACAAATTATCATTTTATTTATTTATTTGACAACAATTTTACATTTCAGCACCCTGTTCCTGTGCTTGTTCCAATATGTTCTTACCAGCTTAGAGAACACATATGATCATCAATCTAAAATACAGCGCATAATGAGAACCCTCATATTCTTACAATTTTCCAAATAAACTTTTTAGCTTGCTTCAATAATAAATTGATTCCAGACTGAACAGAGTGTAGCTGCCAGACTTCTAACAAGAACCAAAAAGATTATCTTAAAATAATAATTTTAGGCTTCATGAATTGATTTTGCGTTAATATCGGTGTTTATATTGCTGTGTAATGAGGGGAAAAACACTTCCTTCAGATTTGTCATATGTGTTGAAATTGTTGTGAATAAAGAAAAACAGCCACTAGGGAGCACAAGCCAGTGTATCTCTTGTGCCGGCCCCAAGTCCGGGTAAATGGTGAGGGTTGTGTCAGGAAGGTCATCCGATGTAAAACACTTAGCTTCTCAGCTTAGCTGCGTTTAACGATCCAAAAACGCGATTTTGGACGGTTAAAACAGATTTTAAAGCGAAAGAGAGGGGTCAGTGAAGAGCACCGGAGTTGAGCCTTTTGTCGTCCAGTGTCTTCAGTAGAAAGAGAGAGACACAAAGAAACGATAAAGCCGATAAATTAAAATAATGGCGATAATTTTTTTTTTTTTTCATTTACCCTTTATTTATCCAGGTAGTCTCACTGAGCCACGAGAACTCATTTCCAAGAGAGACCTGTTTAGGGAGCAGATGGTTTAAGGGCCTTGCTCAGGGGCCCAGGGTGGGGCGAATGAGGGTGGAGGGAGGTGTGGGTGTTTCATCTTTTCCACCCACATTTTGATGTTGACGGTGCCGGAAGGTGAACCTGCGACTTTCTGATCACAAGTCCATCTTCTAACCGCTGCGCCACCACTCCCCCATGCAATTAATTGATTTATTGTTTATTGCGACAGGCCTACTTGTGATTCTTGTGTTTGTTCCTTTGTACTGAAACTCTGGCACAATAATTTCCCACGGGATCAATAAAGTTTTATCTTATCTTATCTTATCTTGAACAACTCTGTAATGAAACCAAGGTGATGAGTTACAACAACATTTACTGGTAATTTCCCTCTGGGATTAATAAAGTATTTTAAAATTTGAATATAATATCATACACTGTATTATTTTACATTATTATTGTTTAGCCTATATCATAGATCCTTGTACAGTGTTTCTTTTTTATACTTTATATTTTTGCTATTTTCGGGTGTAACTGGGACCTTGAGTACACAATTTCATTCCACCTCATGTAGCACATGTGATGCGAACGACATGAATCTCGAACAATAATTGTCTTTATGGTTCAACAAAATAAGTGCAGCTTAGTAAACAGTTAAAAAAAACACATCAGTCAGTGTCCTGATTTTTATGTGTAAGTACACAGCAACTTACTTTCAACACGATGCAGAGATTTAGAAGATTTCACCACAAGTCAACTCCTCCTCAGCTCTTCTGTGACTTCCAAATAAAGTCACAACACCGGCAGCTAAATCCCATGAAAGAGTCACCGGTAGATCCTTCTCTGGCTTGTCAAACAGTCCACACAAGCTGGGGGTTTCTCTCAGGAACGAACCTGCAGAAAGACAAAGGATCACATTATGATGGTCACTTTGAAGAGTTTATTTGATTTTATTGTGTCAAGATTTAAATTAAACTAATACGCCTCTAAATGTGTTCGTGCTATAGTTCAGTCAATTTTTAAATAATATTTTGTCGTTTTACTTTTAACTCTCAAGGTCTCATTATGTGCAAAGAACTTCAACCAAATCAAATTTATATTGTGTTAATTAAGTATTCTCTGATATACAAACTAAAGCATATAATGAGTTAAAATGTTTAATATATTGTGTTAATTATAAAACTTAAATGACAAAATTGTGCTCAAAAGATCTAATTACAAAAACAAAAACGCCCCAGCTGACCTGAAGTCACCCACAGGTCATTCATCATTTTTAATAAATGCTTGACTGTATTGTGTTGTACCATCCACGTGTATTTTTTTTACTGCGATCTGAGGCTTTATACAGTAATAAATGGAGCAAAGTAGAAAATAATAGGTTGTGAGCATAATAAAAGCTTTAAGAGCACTTCCCTGTCTTTTCATGCAAGTTAATTAAAAAATTTAAACTAAGTTTTAATTAAACAAAATGATATTACCCAACTTTAGAATTAATAGACTACAGCCTATATTTTTTAATGTAATCACGTATTTTCTGTCCCTGTTTGATTCTGGCCATGGTCAATTCAGTGATGCATTAATAACATAAATATGTAAATAACTGGATAAGTAGATACAAACGAATAAACAGTGCTCGTAATTAAATCTGACACGTAAATAGCCTCCCTTCATTTGATTAACACATAAATGCGGTTCAGTGATTGGCGCTCAAAAATCATTGGACGATTTTATTGACAATTAGACAGAGTCCCTGGTGGTCTAGTGGTTAGGGTTCGGCGTCTCACTGCCGCAGCCCGGGTTTGATTCAAACTTTTATGGGGGCTGAGATGGGGCAGAGGCAGGGCAGCTGACCCGGGACCTGAAAGTCCCAGGCTCGATCCCCAGTCATTGCACATCTCGTGGTGTCTCTGAGCAGGACACCCCATCCCCATTTGCCCCCCCCCGCCCAATAACCACCCACTGCACCACCTGGGGGTGGATGGGTCAAATGCAGACAGCCAATTTCGCCATTGTATGTGAACATAATGATGGCAACACATAACACAACATTATTATTATTATTATTATTTGATTCAAATGTTACAGAATCGGGCAGAACTATGTTGACAAAAATAATTTTGTTTCAGACCGATTTCTCTTATCCTGATAGTTTAAAACAGAATGAGTAAACAAGTTGCGCATAAACACTGAACGCATTGTTAGACCTCTGTTGCCATGGAGACCAAGCCGGGCTCAAAGAGAGCGCGTCCAAAATCATGAAAACTCCGACTTTCAGCGTAACATGGGCAGCTAACCCAGAATTATCACCTCATGGAAGAACCCAGATTACAAAGAGTACACACGAACATATGGCAAAACAGAAACAACCAAACACAGGCTCCTGACAACGATTAGCTCAGATGCTAACTTAGCATTGCGCTGTAGAAAAACTAACGCAGTTGAGTTGGCTTCGTGATTATCCCTGAAATTTATACACAAATCAAACGTTTTAACCATTACTAAAGGCAGTTATGTTATGAGAACTTTAACTATTACTTACAAACACATATTCTTCAAGTTTCGTCTAGAAAGGACGAAAGATGTATTAATCACACAGCTTCACAGCATCGAACTACGGAAAAGCTATTAGGACAAGTAGTCCTGCTCAGGACGAGTTTTCCTGCCGCCATCTTGTAAGGAGCTACATCGAACTTCGGAAACTCTATTAGGTCCAAAAAAAAGTTATAAACAAAACAACTGGACTTTATTTGTAACTGAAGACGTTACAAATAAACTTAAGACAAATAACGTCCATTTGTTTTGTTTATAACTTTTTTATTATTATTTACCATGTCCTGGGGGGGCAGCACGGTGGCACAAACCCCGGTCCAGGGGCCTTTCTGGGTGGAGTTTGCATGTTCTCTCCGTGCATGCGTGGGTTTTCTCCTGGTGCTCCGGTTTCCTCCCACATACCAAAAACATGCATGTTAGGCTGATTGGTAACTCTAAAATTGTCCCTAGGTGTGAGTGAGAGAGTGAATGGTTGTTTGTCTCGTTTGTCTCTATGTGGCCCTGTGATGGACTTGCGACCCGTCCAGGGTGTACCCCGCCCCTCGCACAGTGATTGCTGGACATGGGCACCAGCGACCCCGGTGACCCAAAATGGAATAAGCGGGTAAAGATGATGGATGGATGTCCTGGATGACTGAGAATCTTCACCAGCGTAAACTCTATTAGGACAAGGAGTCCTGCTCAAGACGAGATTTCCTGCTGCCATCTTGTAAGGAGCTAAGAGTAACCATCTGCACTATTTACTGGTGCATCAATTAAAATTAGAATACCATCCATCTACCCATCCATTATCTTTACCCGCTTCTTCCTTTTCGGGTTGTGGGGGTCACTGGTGCCCATGTCCAGCCATCACTGTGTGAGAGACGGGGGACACCCTGGACAGGTCGTAGGTTCATGACAGGGATGCAAAGAGATAAACAATCATTTCTCGCTCACACCAAGGGACAATTTAAAGTTACCCTAACATGCATGTTTTTGGTCTGTGAGGAAACCGGAGTACCCGGACAAAACCCACGCATGCATGGGGAGAACATGCAAACTCCACCCAGAAAGGTCCCTGGCTTGGACTTGATCTGGCAACCATTTTGCTGAGAGGCAACAGCTCTACCAAATGTGCCACACCACTGGAACATTGTGAAAAGTTTTTTTTTTTTGTTTTTTGTCATTCACTTCAGAAAATGAAATTCCTTTATTACACAGAGGAAATATTTCAAGCCTTTATTTCTTATAATGTTGATGATTATGTTTTACAGACAATGAACAAACAAAACTCTGTGTTTCAGAAAATTGGAATATTTCACAGTCAGCTTTTGGTACCTTTGTCAGTGTGGTCAGGAGCCGAGTCCTGCTGGAAAATGAAATCAGCATCTCCATAAAGCTCGTCAGCAGAAGGAAGCATGAAGTCTCTAAAATGTCCTGCTAGATGCTGTGTTGACTGTGGACTTCAGAAAACACAGTGGACCAACACCAGCAGAGGACATGGACCCAAACCATCATTGATTGAGGAAACTTCATACTGGACTTCAACAACGTAGATTATGGGTCTCTTCACTCT